AATTATATATATATATATATATATATATATAAACAAATTTTTCTCCTGTACGCACTAAAAAACAGGTACAAAAGCTTTCACTGGGGTGGTACTTTTGTACTGTACTTTATTTACTGTACATAAGGTGCATATTAGCAGGCTACCTTAAGTGTAAATAATATTGAAAAAGAAAAATATTGAAAGGATAATGCCCAAGTGACAGCTTTTGTACAATTTTTTTCTGAGTGTTATGTTGTGCTTTGCCCTGAATGTGAGAGAATCTCCTGTGGTGACAGACAGCCAGGCCTAATAAACCCTACTTTCATTTTGCACATATTACACAACATATGGGCAGAGACGACATGTAACTTATAACTTTCAATAGTAGCAGCCATGTGTTTTATTGACTGCAATCAGAATTTTTCCATCCTGCCCTTTTACAGTGTACGAACCTCGTTTACCAGCTTTTCTCATTACCGCTTTAAAAATGTAAGACCACACCATGTGATTGAATGCCACAAGTGTGCTCTCTGTCAAGCGCCATGTGATTTGTGTTCACACTGTGTAGGTTGGGCTGTGATGAAGGACAGAGTATTAGGTGAGGAAGAAGAAATGGAAGTGAAGAGCATCTTGCGGAGGGCCCAGTCTCTCAGAAGTGTTTCCAGCGATCATGTCCTGTCCTGGACTGAAGCTGGACTTAGAGACAGGAAGAAGTCTGTCTCTCAGCTTGTGGCACAGTGAGGGAGATGTTCCTCTTTACTTCAAAGCATATTTCACCAATAAATAAATGCTATGCCATCATTTACTCATCCTTACGATGGCCAAAACCTGTATGACCTGTAATACAAAATGTGATGTTTAGCAAGAATGTCAGAGCTGTTCTTATATCATAAAAGTGGATTGGCACCAAGTTCCAACAAAGGGACAAAAATTTAAGTACAATAAAAGTTGTCCATAAGATTCATTCACTACATATATTCTGAGTGTTCTAAAGCCATACAATAAATTTGAGGGACAGATTAAATTTTAAGTTGTTATCCACTGAAACTCTTGCTTGATATTTGGTTACCATTCACTTCCTCTGTATGAAAACGAGCAGCTTAGATATTCAGCTAGAGATCTCCTATTGTGTTCCACAGAAGAAAAGAAATGAAAGAGGTTTTGAAAGACATCAAGGTGAATAAATTATGACAGAATGTTCAATTTGAGTAATCCATACTGAGAGTGTATACATTGTTTGGTAATAAACTCCTAAAGGGATAGTTCACCCAATGAGTGTCTTTCTTCTGTTGAACACAAAAGAAGATATTTTGAAGAATGTTGTTTTGTTTTTTTTCCATACAATGGAAGCCTCTTCTCTCTTAATGGACTCGATGTTAATGTGTAACTCTATTGTAAAACTGTAAATTATGCCTTTAAACAGAACGTGAAACTAACAATTCTATTTACTGAAATCAATTAAATTAAATTAAATAGATGACTTTATCAGACCGTCTGTACATCATGTGTTCATCACCAGGTACCAAAACTCTCCCGGAAGAAAAGCCAAAGAAGTGGATTCAGGAGATGTAAAGCATGAGGTAAAAACACTGAACTAACTTCACATGCTGCATTAGAATATTCAATAATATTACACAGCTTTCTGAAATGCTTGATTCTGACTGGTCAGTCATGACATTCTGAGGTCAGTTATTCCCCAATGATGACTGTCGTTATTAGCAATGCTGTTTAATAACCACTCATCCGGGTATCTGAGACATGATGCTTCTTTTATGTCTCTCTGTGGATGCGTAGTTTAGTTTAAACACAGCTGGTGCACCGAATGACTTCAGTATTAATAGTAGGCCTACGGTAATATTGTTTAAGTGTTGCTAGAATTAATGTTTTTTTACAATGTAATGGATTATAAGATTATATACAGGTAAGATTTTAAAACAGTTTCTCCTCAAATCGGTATTTGTCCCATCATGTATTAAACATAAAAGTACATTACATGTACATTATCCCTTGAATGCCCATCTTTTTTGTTTGTCAATTGGCTAAGCTGCTTGTGTTTAATGAGCTAATAAATTATTTCAACTCAAATCATAATTTTTTGGTCTAATTATTTACTTAAGTGGGCAAGTAGCCATGCATGGAACAAGATTATAATATTGTGTAATAAGAATATTTTGTGATGACAACCAGCTGCGTGTACATAATCTCTTACTAACATATTTGATACCATTGATTACCTATGATTGAAGGAAGCATCCATTTTTACCTGCATAAAAACTGTGAATGTGTTTTCAAATTTATCTCCTCCAGCTGAACATGCAGGTCACTCCAATTCCTGTCAGTGAGAATGAGAGCGAGACAATAGTGAGGAAGACTGAGGTCAAAGAGAGGTCCAGGGTCTCTCCTCTCTCCCGCAGTAAGTCTATGGAGAGTCTTCCTCGGCACAGACCTACGGGCACCACAGCACTCAGGAATTATATATATATATATATATATATATATAAACAAATTTTTCTCCTGTACGCACTAAAAAACAGGTACAAAAGCTTTCACTGGGGTGGTACTTTTGTACTGTACTTTATTTACTGTACATAAGGTGCATATTAGCAGGCTACCTTAAGTGTAAATAATATTGAAAAAGAAAAATATTGAAAGGATAATGCCCAAGTGACAGCTTTTGTACAATTTTTTTCTGAGTGTTATGTTGTGCTTTGCCCTGAATGTGAGAGAATCTCCTGTGGTGACAGACAGCCAGGCCTAATAAACCCTACTTTCATTTTGCACATATTACACAACATATGGGCAGAGACGACATGTAACTTATAACTTTCAATAGTAGCAGCCATGTGTTTTATTGACTGCAATCAGAATTTTTCTATCCTGCCCTTTTACAGTGTACGAACCTTCACATGAGGTAGTTTTCCCAGCGTCAGGTGTAATAAACCACCCGGACTTTGCCCACAGTTTCTGCACAGCGAGCTCCCCGTGTGATGCGCAGAGAACTATCTCTAGGCATCCGTGAATGGAGTGAGCAACATACTTTTCAGAGGTAAAATATTCACTTATTTTAACCATTCCATGTCAATATATCAAAATATATCAAAAACTTTAAATAGATTATGTCTATTTAAAAATATATTTAGTTTTTTAAAGTGCATAACAATGGCTTACTAGTGTTCGGTAGACGAGAGATGGTTAATTATCAGTTAGCATATGACAACTGACATATTATCAACACTGGTAATGATTAATATGAGTTGTGTGCCATGGGTCAATTAATCAAAGATGTCATTTTCTGTATAATTTATAAACAAAATATGCATCCTTCTTACTGTGCATGCTTATTTTAAAGTTAAATATGAAAACTGTAAAAAAAATGTGATTTGTGTTCACACTGTGTAGGTTGGGCTGTGATGAAGGACAGAGTATTAGGTGAGGAAGAAGAAATGGAAGTGAAGAGCATCTTGCGGAGGGCCCAGTCTCTCAGAAGTGTTTCCAGCGATCATGTCCTGTCCTGGACTGAAGCTGGACTTAGAGACAGGAAGAAGTCTGTCTCTCAGCTTGTGGCACAGTGAGGGAGATGTTCCTCTTTACTTCAAAGCATATTTCACCAATAAATAAATGCTATGCCATCATTTACTCATCCTTACGATGGCCAAAACCTGTATGACCTGTAATACAAAATGTGATGTTTAGCAAGAATGTCAGAGCTGTTCTTATATCATAAAAGTGGATTGGCACCAAGTTCCAACAAAGGGGGAAAATGCAGTATTTTAAGTACAATAAAAGTTGTCTGTAAGATTATTCGAAAGCCATACAATAACGTTGAGGAACAGATTAAATTTTAAATCATTCACTGAAACTCTTACTTGAAATTTGGTTACCATTCACTTCCTCTGTATGAAAACGAGCAGCTTAGATATTCAGCTAGAGATCTCCTATTGTGTTCCACAGAAGAAAAGAAATGAAAGAGGTTTTGAAAGACATCAAGGTGAATAAATTATGACAGAATGTTCAATTTGAGTAATCCATACTGAGAGTGTATACATTGTTTGGTAATAAACTCCTAAAGGGATAGTTCACCCAATGAGTGTCTTTCTTCTGTTGAACACAAAAGAAGATATTTTGAAGAATGTTGTTTTGTTTTTTTTCCATACAATGGAAGCCTCTTCTCTCTTAATGGACTCGATGTTAATGTGTAACTCTATTGTAAAACTGTAAATTATGCCTTTAAACAGAACGTGAAACTAACAATTCTATTTACTGAAATCAATTAAATTAAATTAAATAGATGACTTTATCAGACCGTCTGTACATCATGTGTTCATCACCAGGTACCAAAACTCTCCCGGAAGAAAAGCCAAAGAAGTGGATTCAGGAGATGTAAAGCATGAGGTAAAAACACTGAACTAACTTCACATGCTGCATTAGAATATTCAATAATATTACACAGCTTTCTGAAATGCTTGATTCTGACTGGTCAGTCATGACATTCTGAGGTCAGTTATTCCCCAATGATGACTGTCGTTATTAGCAATGCTGTTTAATAACCACTCATCCGGGTATCTGAGACATGATGCTTCTTTTATGTCTCTCTGTGGATGCGTAGTTTAGTTTAAACACAGCTGGTGCACCGAATGACTTCAGTATTAATAGTAGGCCTACGGTAATATTGTTTAAGTGTTGCTAGAATTAATGTTTTTTTACAATGTAATGGATTATAAGATTATATACAGGTAAGATTTTAAAACAGTTTCTCCTCAAATCGGTATTTGTCCCATCATGTATTAAACATAAAAGTACATTACATGTACATTATCCCTTGAATGCCCATCTTTTTTGTTTGTCAATTGGCTAAGCTGCTTGTGTTTAATGAGCTAATAAATTATTTCAACTCAAATCATAATTTTTTGGTCTAATTATTTACTTAAGTGGGCAAGTAGCCATGCATGGAACAAGATTATAATATTGTGTAATAAGAATATTTTGTGATGACAACCAGCTGCGTGTACATAATCTCTTACTAACATATTTGATACCATTGATTACCTATGATTGAAGGAAGCATCCATTTTTACCTGCATAAAAACTGTGAATGTGTTTTCAAATTTATCTCCTCCAGCTGAACATGCAGGTCACTCCAATTCCTGTCAGTGAGAATGAGAGCGAGACAATAGTGAGGAAGACTGAGGTCAAAGAGAGGTCCAGGGTCTCTCCTCTCTCCCGCAGTAAGTCTATGGAGAGTCTTCCTCGGCACAGACCTACGGGCACCACAGCACTCAGGGCGCTCTTTGAGTCAAAGATCACCAGTCAGCCTGAGTCCAAGAAGAGCAAGACGGCACTTGAATCAGCGAGTGCTGAGAAAACCAATAACACTACTCTTCCCAATAACAAGGATGCGGAGGACAGAAAGTTACAAGTAGAGGCAGAGGTTAATAACAGCCATAATGAACTAGAGAAAGTGACTGAAGAGTTTCAAGTGATTACAAAGGTAAACAGTTGGACCTTACAGAGATTTGCATTTGAGCCAGAGTCATTTGTATTTACTGATGAAATAATTACTCTTTCAGAATGCAAGAACAAACCGATCTGATAGAAGAAAGACCATTTCTGGCATTCATAGTGAAAAAATATCCTCTCCAGAGGGTGAGTAAATACAAAACTTAATTTTTACATTTTATAAAGATAAAATGCTTGTATATGCAAAACTCAGTGCCATGGTGCTAGGGTGTTCTGGGTAATTGATAGGGTGCTTTGGATGGTCTCCATATGGGCTCAGGGTAGCCCATATGGAGAAAAAAAAAATTA